CTGGGTTCGATTCCTCAGCACCACATAAACAGAAAAAGCCAGAAGTGATGCTGTGGCTCAAGCAGTAGAGCGCTCGCCTTCAGCTGAAGAGCTGAGGGACAGTGCCCAGGCCCAGAGTTCAGGCCCCAGGACTGGCAAAAAAAAAAAAGAAAAAAAAGAAATGCACTCATTATCTTGCCCATGTAATTGTAACCCCTCTGTACAGTATTTTCACAAAAAAAGTTCAAAAAAAAAAAAAAAGAATACACACAAACAGCAAAATTTAGAAAAAGCTAAAATTTCAACAGCAGACTGAACAAAAATACTACAAAATCATAAGACAGATAGATCTATGTATGAACATGAAAAATATTTAAGACAATTCTAGTAGCAGTGACATTCAGGGAATAATTGAAAAAGAATTTTACCTTCTTAAATATTCATGAAAATTTTTGTTAACTTTTGAAATTATTATTGAGACAGGCTCTTGCTATGTGACCCAGTGCCTCAAATTTCTAATTCTCCTACTAGGATTACAGACTTGAGTTATCACATATACTTACATTTTAGGTTAAAAAAAATGTATAGACAAGCATAAAGAATAGAGGGAATGGAACTCAAATGGTAGCTCATTTACCTAGCAAATATCAGGCCCTGCGTTCAATCCCAGTACTGTAAAAGTGATATTATATAGTAGGGCAAGTAATAATGTAACTGGTCAAGCTGTCATCCAATTCCTTATTTAGATTCCTATTCATTTGTAAATACTCTTGTTTACATTGGGTCCTCCAGATAATCCAGCTAATCTAATGGGGATTAGAACATGGACAACTTGGAGTGGGGGAGGGAGGAATTATCTCATCTACCATGGTTTTACAATAATATAGAAGTTTTTTGTTTTTTGGGTAGTGTGGCCTGAATTCTGGGCCTGGGCCCTGTCCCTCAGCTCTTCAGCTCTAGGCCAGTGCATTACCACTTGAGCCACAGCGCCACTTCCAGCCTTTTCTGCTTATGTGGTGCTGAGGAATGGAACCCAGGGCTCTCATGCATGCAAGGCAAGCACTCTACCACTGAGCCACCTTCCCAGCCCCAAGGGTTTTTTTGTTTTTTGGTTTTTTTTTGTCATTTGAGGGGCTTAAACTCAGTGCTTGGGAGCTATCTCTGAGCTCATTTTTGCTCAAGGTTAGTGTTCTACCACTGCGAGCAACAGCTCTACTTCTGGTCTTCTGGTGGTTAATTGCAGATAAAGAGTCCTATGGACTTTCCTGTCCAGTCTGGCTTTGCCTGCCATGTCTGGCTTTGAACCGTGATACTCAGATCTCAGCCTCTTGAGTAGCTAGGATTACAGGTATGAGCCACCCACCAGTGCCTGTTTGTGTTTTGTTTTAAGCAGCTGCCCAAAGTTGGCATGGTGGCACAGGCCTATATCTCAACATTCAGAAGGCTTAGGCAGGAAGAATAGTGAGTTTAACATCAGCCAAGATACATACAAAGATCCTGTTGGGGACGGGGGTGTTTCTCATAAATATTCAATACATATTAAATAGTAATAGAAATGAAGCCAGGTGTGATGATCTATACCTGTAATCTGGTCAGAGGCTAGCTCTGTGCAAAAGTGCTAGACCTTATCTGATAAATAAAAACATACCAGGTATCAGTGACTCATGCCTGTAATACTAGCTACTCAAGAGGCTAAGATCTGAGATTAGTAACTTAAAGCCAGCCCAGGCAGGAAAGTCTATGAGACTCTATCTTCAATAAAATACCACTGAAAAAGTGAGAAGTAATGTTCTGCTCAAGTGGTAGATCACTAGCCTTGAGCAGAAAGAAGGTCGCTCAGGGATAGCATCCACATCATGAGTTCAAGCCCCAGTACCAACACATACAAAAAAGAAAAGCAGACTGTGGGACATGGCTCCAAAAGTGGAGCCTAGCAACCATAAGGTCCAGAAGTTCAAAACCCTAATGCTGCGCGTGTGCGTGCGTGCGCGCACTCGCACGTGCACGCACACGCGCACACACACACACACACACAAATCCAAACAATAGAAAGATAATTATTTATTTACAAAGGATAAAATCTTAGTTATTATTATTATTATTATTTGTGCCAGTCCTAGGGCTTGAACTTGGGGCCAGGGAGCTGTCTCCAAGCCTTTTTGCTCAAGGTCAGTGCCCTATGACTTCCAAATTTTTGGTGGCTAACTGGAGATCAAGTCTCATAAACTGTCCTGGTTGGGATGGCTTCAAACTGTGATCCTCTGATCTCAGTTAGGATTTATTAGAAATAGCTGCCAGTGCCTGGTTTATTACCATTCATTCAATTTTATTTTATTTTTGTCAGTCATGTTGCTTAAATTCAAGGCCTGGCTACTGTCCTTGAGCTTTTCTCCTCAAAGCTAGTGCTCTACTACTATGAAACACAGCTCCATTTCTGGTTTTGTGGTGGTTAACTGGAGAAAAGAGTCTCATAGACTTTCCTGCCTGGACTGGCTTTGAACCACAATCCTCAGATCTCAGCCTCCTGAGTAGCTAGGATCACAGGTGTGAGCCACCAGCACCCTGCTACCTTTTATTATTACTTTTTTTCTCCTTTTGTATACAGGTTATCTAATTGTTCCAGCACTTGCTGGTAAAGAGATGGATATAAGCAGTGACCTTTTTATAAATCTCAAGTGAATTATGATAAATGAAAGAATATGAACATAGAAGGCAATATATTCCACGATCACATTAGTATGACATTCTGGAAAAGGCAAAGCTATAGGGATAGAAATAAAATCACCTCATTCAGTCAAGTATTGGTGGCTCATCCCTGTAATCCTTGGTACTCACTCAGAAGGCTGAAATTTGAAGATTATGGTTGAAGTCAGCCTGTTTAGAAAAGTCCCTGGACGCCAGGCGCTGATGGCTCATGCCTGTAATCCTAGCTACTCAGGAGGCTGAGATCTGAGGATCGCGATTCAAAGCCAGCCTGGGCAGGAGAGACTGTGAGACTCCTATCTCCAGTAAACCACCAGAAAACCGGAAGTGGCGCTGTAGCTCAAGTGGTAGAGCACTCGCCTTGAGCTGAAGAGCTGAGGGACAGCGCCCAGGCCCAGAGTTCAAGCCCCACGACCGACAAAAAAAAAAAAAAAAAAGTCCCTGGAGACTCTTATCTCCAATTAACCACTCAAAAAACTGGAAGTAGAGCTGAGCTGTGGCTCAAAGTGGTAGAATGCTAGACTTGAGGAAAAAAGTTAGGGAAAGTGCCTAGGACCTGCGTTTAAGCCCCATGACCAACAACAAAACAAAGAAAGCACATCACTTGCTACCAGGACCAGGGGACTGCCTATAGGGAGCAGATCCTTTTCAGTGATTATAGAAATATTCCATGCGTTATGGGGGTATATACAGTACACCTTGTTAAAACAAAGAAACCCACTTTAGCCAAATGTTGACGAATCATGTCTGTAATCCTAGCTACTCAGGAGGCTAAGATCTTAAGATCATGGCTTGAAGCCAATTAAGCCAGAAGTGGAGCTGTGGCCCAAGTAGGAAAGCACTAGCCTTGAGCACAACAGCTCAGGGACAGCACCTAGGTCCTGAGTTCAAGCCCCAGGAATGGCACACCTCACCATAACCCCTAAAATAAGATGGACAGACTTCATGTAAACTATTCTTTATAAATCTGATTTGGAGCCGGATGCTGGTGGCTCAAGCCTATAATCCTAGGTACTCAGGGAGGCTGAGATCTGAGGATCACAGTTCAAAGCCAGTCGGGGCAGGAAAATCCATGAGACTCTTTTTTTTTTGGGGGGGGGAGGGAGTAGGGTCCGGTCGTGGGGCCTGAACTCTGGGCCTGGGTGCTGTCCCTCAGCTCTTCAGCTCAAGGCTAGTGGTCTACCACTTGAACCACAGCGCCACTTCCGGTTTTTTTTCTTTTTGCTTATGTGGTGCTGAGGAATCAAACCCAGGGCCTCATGCATGCAAGGCAAGCGATCTACCACTAAGCCACCTTCCCAGTCCCTTCCATGAGACTCTTATCTCCAATAAAAACCATTCAGTGGTAGAGTGCTAGCATTGAGCTGAAGAGCTGAGGGACAGACAGGCCCAGAGTTCAAGCCCCGTGACCGACCCAAAAAAAAAAAAAAAAAATCTGACTTAGAATTTAAGATTGAGATATCTGATCCAAAATGCCCTAAAATATAAAACTTTTTGAATACTGACACAATTCAAAATGTAGAAAATCCCACACACCTGAATGATCTACTGTAATGACTCACATTCAAAACAGGCTCACTAAAAATATTGTATAAAATTACCAACAGGTTATATATTTATGAAACAAATTAATTTTGTATTTAGATGTTGGTCCTTTCTCTAAGTTACCTCTTTATTAAATATTCCAAAATGTAAGAAAATTAATAATTCCAGACATTTCTGATCTTAAGCATTTCATATAAGAAATAGTCAACCTCTAATTTGTTTTGTAGGCTTAAAAATGTGACTAGAAATTGAAATAATACAAATAAACAAAAAAGTGGGAAAACTAGAACTTTCTCCAGACTTCTTCACCATATAGAAGATATTGCTCTCAAATTAAGAATCAAAGAGAGGCTGATGGTATCTCAGTATGGAGTGCATGCCTATTATAAAGTTAGGCATTGGGTTACAGCTCCAGCACTGGAGGATGGAGTGAAAAGAAAAGAGTAAGCTGGGTGCTGGTGGCTCATGCATGTAATCCTAGCTACTCAGGAGGCCGAGATCTGAGGATTGCAGTTCAAAGCCAGCCCAGGCAGGAAAATCTGTGACATTCTTTTCTCCAATTAAAAAACCCACCAGAACACTGGAAGTGGCTCAACTTGTAGACCGTTTGCCTTGAGCCGAAAAGCTCAGAGAAAGCGCCTAGGCCCAGAGTTGCAGCTCTACAACCAACCAAAAAAATTAAGCTCTCTTTACTACAAACAGTGACCTAACAATTTAACAAACACAACAAATATGAAGCTAAGTCTAAGAAACAATAATGAGCTAAGACTTACCTTTGGAGTCAGCATTTGGGAACAGCCTATTCCATGGTACTTTATTTTTGTGTGGAAGAGAGAGCAAATAGTTTCTAGCCTTTAAATTTATTATACAATTCAGGTCTTCCTGTGATGGGGATCCAAGAATACCTATTAAATAAAGTAATTAGCTGCTAAATATCAAGACCAAGGCAAACAAACATATCCTATCAATTTGAGACAGAATGAACTTTGGTCCTTAATGTCTTCTTACCATCACCTAATGCTTACCTTTCCTTTTTTTTTTTTTTTGGTCAGTTGTGGGGCTTGAACTCGGGGCCTGGGTGCTGTCCCTGAGCTCTTCAGTTCAAGGCTAGCGCTCTACCACTTGAGCCACAGCACCACTTCTGTTTTTTTCTGCTTATGTGGTGCTGAGGAATCAAACGCAGCAGGGTCTCATGCATGCAAGGCAAGCACTCAACCCATGAGCCACCTTTCCAGCCCCCTTCCCAAGAAATTTTTACATAAAGGTTTTATTTTTAATTTTTTTAAAAGATCAGAAATTTAACTCTATTACAGATTAGAATTATTAAAACTCCTGAGTCATTTAATGATGTGACTCTCAGGAACCTTACCCAGAATATGGTTCAGTTGGTCAAGATAATGCTTTCCTGGGAAAATGGGCCTATTGGACAGCATCTCTGCCAGGATACATCCCACAGACCAAATATCAATGGACTTGGTATAGCCCTGCAGCAGAAAGGGGAAAAAGGGCAGATAATGATTATCTATGGATATGCCAAACAAGGAGATCTTGTTCCATGAGATGCATATTGCTGATACAAGTTGGAGCTTTTTCAAAATGTCACAAATACATGAAAACAATAAAAAGAAAAATAATTATTTGGCTTTCTTATACTTAACCATGATTAATTTTATTTCACATTTCAAATGCTGATTAACTTTCAATTTAATTAGGTTTTCTAGCCAGGAACTGGTGGCTCACAGCTGAAATCCTACTCAGGAAGCTGAGATCTGAGGATTGAGGTTCTAAACCAGTCCAGCTAGACAAATTCTTGAGATTCTTTATTCTAATTAATCAGCAAAAAGCCAGAAGTAGAGCTCTGGAGCTCAAGTGGTAGAGTACCAGCCTTGAGCAGAAATAGCCAAGCAAGAGCATAAGGCACAGAGTTCAAGCCCTGGTAGCAGGGCATGCATGCATATGTACGTGTATACACACACACACGCATGCACGCACGCACGCACGCACGCACGCACACGCACACGGACCTCTGAAGTGTACTTCAGTCTTTTTTGAAAACAAAGTAGGGGGAGATTTAGAATTATTACATGCTTCAGGACATTAAAAACCCATTTAGTCACTTTTGGAAACATAAGTCAGTTCAAAAGAGGAGACATTACTATACTTTCAGGATAGCATATTCATCTTATAAATAATTTCTTTTTTCTTTTTTTTTGCCTGTCGTGGACCTTAACTCTGGGCCTGAGCACTGTCCCTCAGCTCTTCAGCTCAAGGCGAGCACTCTACCGCTTGAGCCACAGCGACACTTCTCACCTTTTCTGTTTATGTGGTGCTGAGGAACCGAACCCAGGGCCTCATGCATGCAAGGCAAGCACTCTACCACTGAATCACCTCCCAGCCCCATCTTATAAATAATTTCTAAACAAAGCAGGCTGAAAAACTTTGACCTCTACAAAAAAGTAACACCAATATTCTCATCATTTTCTATTTATTTTTCAGGTAAAATATTCTTTTTTTTTTTTTTTTTTTGGGTCCGGTCGTGGGGCCTGAACTCTGGGCCTGGGCGCTGTCCCTCAGCTCTTTTAGCTCAAGGCTAGCGCTCTACCACTTGAGCCACAGCGCCACTTCCGGCTTTTTTCTTTTTGCTTATGTGGTGCTGGGGAATCGAACCCAGGGCCTCATGCATGCAAGGCAAGCGCTCTACCACTGAGCCACCTCCCCAGCCCCAGGTAAAATATTCTTTTAAAGGAAGTCTGTTGGGTTGGGAAGGTGGCTCAGTGGTAGAGCACTTGCCTTGCATGTCTGAGGCCCTGGATTTGATTCCTCAGCACCACATAAGCAAAAAGAAAAAAGCCGGAAGTGGCACTGTGGCTCAAGTGGTAGAGCGCTAGCCTTGAGCTGAAGAGCTGAGGGACAGCGCCCAGGCCCAGAGTTCAGGCCCCATGACCCAACTCCCCCAAAAAAAAATTAAAAAAAAAAAAAAAAAAGGAAGTCTGTTAAAGTCATGTAAGAATTCAATGAAAAAAGGCTCTCTCCAAGGAACAGAAGCTACATTTTATGGAAGATATTAAATATAGTGATAAATGGAAGGAGAAATATAGAAAATACCAGAGAGAAAAATCTGAAGGTGGGTGCTGGTGGCTCTCACCTGTAATCCTAGCTACTCAGGAGGCTGAGATCTGAGGATCATGGTTCAAAGCCAGCCTGGGCAGGAAAGTCCATGAGACTCTTATCTCTAATAAACCACTAGAAAACTGGAAGTGGCACTGTGGCTCAAGTGGTAGAGTGCTCGCCTTGAGCTGAAGAGCTGAGGGGCAGCTCCAAGGCCCAGAGTTCAAGCCTCATGACTGACAAAAACAAAAAACAAAAAGCAAAAAACAAGAAGTGCTAATACTAGAGGAAAATGTAAAAAATGGCTCTGCTAGACCAAATCTGGAACAAACCTACATAATAGTAAGTGGTTATAAATCACCAAATAAATACTCAAGAGTAAACTAAAATATAGAAAAATGATAGATGTGTAAAAATCACCAGTGGATGGCAGGAGAAGTGAAAGTTTAATGAAGATAACGTACAAACTATTTCCCCATGAAATAATTACGAGTCCAGAAACTACTAATAATTTGATGGTGGATCTGGAGGATGCCATATTACCTAAAAGATAAATAAGATTACCCATTACAGTACAAAGGTAAAAGACTCTGAAAAGAGTTTTAACATTTCCTGCATGGCGGGCAGGAAATATTTCTCTCTTTTCCATTTTCCTCTACTTAAATGCTGTTTTACTAAAATAAATCGTGTGTGTGTGTATGTGTATATCTGAAAACAAGCAATGTGCTATCATTGTGGTATTAATGCCAAAAATGGATGATACAAAACTGAAGGGAATTCTGTTCTCAAAAAAAGGTACCAAACTAATGCTTATCATCTCAGGAATGCTAAGATGCCATGGCTGTAGGGAAGAAAACATGCCCTCTTTAGGAGTATTAATGTTCTAGATGTTCAAGGAGTTAAATGTCAGACGATTTTTTTTAAAGAGGAGAGAAAAAGGAGAAAGAAGGAGGGACAAAATGGCAGTATGTTAACAGCTGGTGGATCAAAGATAAAGGGTATATAGGCATTCATTGTATTTTTAAATTTTTCTATTTTTTAAAAAATGTTCTAGGGCTGGGAAGGTGGCTCAGTGGTAGAGCACCTGCCTTGCATGCTCAAGGCCCTGGGTTCGATTCCTTAGCACCACATAAGAAAAAAAAAAGCCGGAAGTGGCGCTGTGGCTCAAGTGGTAGAGTGCTAGCCTTGAGCTGAAGAGCTGAGGGACAGTGCCCAGGCCCAGAGTTCAGGCCCCACGACCGGACCCAAAAAAAAAAAAAATTGTTCTAAGTCAATAAAAAAGAAAAGAGAGTACCTGCCTACCAAGCCGGAGGCCCAGAGTTCAAATCCCAGTATTAAGTAAGTAAGTAAATAAACAATCGCCTACTATGGTCATACATGCCTTAATCCTAGTATGAGGGAGGGAAATCTAGGAAGATTGACAGTCCAAGGCTAGCCGAGTACTGGTGGCTCATGGGAACAATCCCAGATACTCAAGATTCTGCAATTTGAAGACTGAAGCCAACCAAAGCAGACAAATCCTCCAGACTCTTACCTCCAATTACCCATGAAAAAGTAGGAACTAGAGGCATGGTATGAGTGATAGAGAGCTAGCTATAAGGAAAAGCCAAATTACAATATGAGGACTTGACTTGAGTTCATTAACCAAGTACTGGCACCAAAAACAAAAGTTAGAGGTTAGCCTAGGATACATAATATAATGAGACTGACTCAGAAAAAGAAAAAAAGTGAATACATTACTAGAAGTAACATTCTCAGGCTAGAGGTACTACAAATGAAAAATGAATTTATACTAAGTTTTACCACAGTAATTCTCATGTAGAAGGAAAGTTGGGCACCTGAAAAAAATGCAGAACTACCTCACTAAGGGGATGATGAGAGAATAAAGGCAATGGGCACATTTCAAGTTATAATGAAGACTCAAAGTCAAGGGCCATCAGGACAAAAGGCTCAACAGACTCTACTTTTGCATGCCAACACTCTGTTTAGAACGGCTATCATGTAGCCCATTAGAGAAAAAAATCTGCATAGCTGGGAATGTGGCTCAGTGGTAGAGTGCTTGCCTAGCATGCATGAAGCCCTAGATTCAATTCTTCAATACCACATACACAAAAAAAAGCCAGAACTGGCACTGTGGCTCAAGTCATAGAGTAGTAGCCTTGAGCAAAAAGCTGAGGGACAGTGCCCAGGCCCTGAGTTCAAGCCCCAGGACTGGCAAAAAAAAAGAAAAGAAAAGAAAAAAAGACACTTGCTATGTGGGATTTTTTGCAACACAGTTATGTAAGAGAATCTACACAGCATTTTTTGAAATATTTACTGTAAAAAGTCCTTCTTTATAGTGTATTTTTTCCCCTAATGCTAGTACTGATGTTGTATGGTAAATCCAATCTTGAGAACAGAGAAGCCACTACTTAATAGGCCAAGTTTGGAATTTTTTTTTTTTTTTGGTCGTGGGGCCTGAACTCTGGGCCTGGGCGCTGTCTCTCAGCTCTTCAGCTCAAGGCTAGCGCTCTACCACTTGAGCCACAGCACCACTTCTGGCTTTTTCTGCTTATATGGTGCTGAGAAATCGAACCCAGGGCTTCATGCATACAAGGCAAGCACTCTACCACTGAGCCACCTTACCAACCCAAAATTCGGGATCTTTATAGAACACAGGCATGCAGCAGAGGAACTCCAGTCACAAAGCCCTACCACCCTGAATACAACTAACACATGGCTTATATGGCCAAAACCCACACAATGTTCATGGAATTAATCTTAAAATGGAAAGCAAACCAGATGTGAACATAATCAAAGTAAAACAGTGCACATTCAAATCTCACAAAGATATTAAATATAAGCCAAAACAAATCAAATGTGGACACAGTCAAGGGGAATCAAGCACCAGTCATCGAAGGAGAGTAAGACAGACTTACCTGAACATACCAACTCAAAAAACTTTTTTTTCATTTTTTTTTTTTATTGTGAAGATACCGTTCAGAGGGGTTGCAATTACATAGGCAAGATAATGAGTACATTTCTTATCAAGCTTTGTTGCCTCCTCCTTTGTTTTCCCTTCCCATACCCCCCCACCCCCCAAAACACATTTTTAAACTAAAGAATATTCTCTATTATTAAGGCCTTTTGCTTAGTCCCAGTCTCCTTTCTTCACTGGGACTTGAAGCATGATCTGGGCCTGGTCCCTTAACTTTTTCACTCAAGACTGGTGCTCTACCACTTGAGCAATAGCTCCTCTTTTAGTTTCTTGGTGGCTAACTGGAGAGAAGAGTCTCAAATTTTCTTGTCCTGGATGGCTTTGAATTACGACTTTAAGATCTCAGCCTCCTAAGTAGCTAGGATTACAAGTGTGAGCCATGGAGCCAGGCAGAAATATCTTTTAATGTGATTTTGCTTAACTAAAAACATGTATATAAAAAATAATTGCTGTGCCGGGGCGCCAGTGGCTCACGCTGTAATCCTAGCTACTCAGGAGGCTGAGATCTGAGATCTGAGGATCTCGGTTCAAAGTCAACATGGGCAGGAAACTCCATGAGATTCTTATCTCCAATAAACTACTAGAAAACCAGAAGTGGTGCTGTGCCTCTAGCAGTAGAGCGCTCGCCTTGAGCTGAAGAGTGCACGGACAGTGCCCAAGCCTGGAGTTCAAGCCCCAAACCGACCAAAAAAAAAAAAAAAAAAAGGAGACACAGGAGACAGACCATTTATGGTATTACCATAAATGATTACTTCCTCTCGACTCTAGCTGAGGTAGTAAGAATGGTCCAAAAGTTCAATGATGAACAAGATTAGATAGTACCTTGACTCTGGCCAGATGGGCCAAGCCTAAACCTAAGCTGAAGCTTACAGATGAGGTTTACAGCTATATATTTCAAAGTTTTCTTGCTTTCTGGTTTTCTTTTTTATGTTAACTTCGTCCTTACCTTGGAATTCAACATAATTTCTGGAGCCCTGTACCAACGTGTGGCTACATACTCTGTCAGGAAGCCTGTGTGATCATGATCTGGATCTGCAACACGGGCCAGGCCAAAGTCACAGATCTAAGGGAGAAAAAAGCAGACAACTGAGAATCTACCCAGCTTGATATCAGAATATCATAAAAGTAAAAGAAAACATAAGTAATAATGATAACAAGCAGTTGCTGCCACTACTATGTGAGGTATAAAAGCATTATTATTTAATCTTTTCAACAACCTGAAAGTCAGTGATGATTGATATGCCAAAGACTAACAAAGAGGCTGAAAGGATTTTTTAAAACAATACAACTTGCTGGGAATTAGTGGCTCACCCCTGTAATCCTAGCTACTCAGGAGGCTGAGATAGAAGGGGATTGTAGTTCAAAGCCAGTCTGGACAGGAAAGTCTGTAGAGTCTTATCTCTAATAATAAGTGGAGCTGTGGTTTTAGTGGGAAAGGAACAGTGGGGGTAGTATGCATACACGCATACACATATACACACCACGCACACGCACACAGATACAACTTAACTTGATGAGTGGGGTTGGAATAAGATGTGGGAGAGAATGACAAGGAAGGGATGACAAGCACTGTACTCATAAATTGACACGCAGAACTGAGACTGCTTTGCACACTATTTAAAGATAATAAATTTAATAAAAAGTATAATCAAGAGAAACAACTAGGAGACAACTTAAAAGAGGAAAGATTTCTCTCACATTTTCTTAACTGTTTAGTTGTAACTACATATAGCTTACTTGACAAAAATTGTTCTGGGTAAATTCAGCAAAGCCATCCAGACCCCATCTCAGCCCCATCTCACTGGTGCTCACAGGATCATTGCTGCTAGGATTAGCTATTGGAATTTGCACTGGACTTCTATTTCTCAGATTCCACTTCTTGATAGTTCTCCCATTTAGTCCAAGAAAGTGACATTTTTAGAACCTTCTCACTTCCCTCCCATTTTATGTAGTCAAATCTTCATATACTGAAGATGTACCATTTTCTGGTTTTAAAATATCCAGCTTCTCAGTTTGTTCAGACTTACAGAAGTACCTCCTAAGCATTCCTCATCTTGCTCTCCCAATACTGTAGTGCTATTCAAGAAGGCTATTTTATAAAATAGCTAGTTATATAACATGCAGCTATAATCTAGTTCCACACAAATTCAGAATCTTTTAGCTCTTAGGCCCCTAGGAAACCAACTCAAGAGAAAGATACGTTAACTATAATGGGCCAGAGTAACTATTCTCCTAGAAGATAGACTAAAAGACATGGACTAATCTGGAAGCTTGATAGAATTAAGTAGGCTAAGAAACAAGGGTCTAAACTAAGGCCCTAAAATCAGGGACAGTAAAGGACAAATCTAAAAGGTATTTATAGGACTTGGAATCTACCTAGACTTAATCTCTACCTTTGATCCTACAGACGCTCTCATTTACTTTGACTACAGCATCCAAAAAGTTGCACATTTATGCTGCAGAATGTCCTTCTCTTAGACATTAAAGGCCAGGGGAGAGTGTGAGGTTGAATTCAAGCACCAATACTGGCACAGAACAGAGGGGATAGGAGTGTGTTCAACAGCACATCTGCTTCTCCAGTGGCTCTCCCGTAGGCTGCTTTCCATGTCCACTCTCACAAGATAGAACAGTGAGGGAATCCTGCCTTCCTCTGTAGCTCTGACTGCCAACTCTAGCCACTCTACTCGCAATGTGAATAACCACTACAAACCTGCACTGCTCCTTTCAGAGATGGCTTGCTTGCCAATGACATTACAAGGAATAGTTCATAGCTTTTGTGGAGGAACACAGTTGAATTTACAATTGACTGATCTGAGCCTTTCAATGTATTTATATCCTATTTGTTTCCTCCTCCTCCTCTTCCTCGTCTTCTTCTTCCTCTCTCTCCCCCTCCTCCTCCTTTTTTTGTTGACAGTGGGGTCTGAATTCTCGGCTTGGGCACTGTCCCTGAGCTCTTCAGCTCAAGGCTAGCGCTCTACCACTTGAGCCACAGTACCACTTCTGGCTTTTTTCTTTTTGCTTATGTGGTGCTGAGGAATCGAACCCAGGGCCTCAGGCATGCAAGGCAAGCGCTCTACCACTGAGCCACCTTCCCAGCCCCAACATTTTCTGCTTATGTGGTGCTGAAGAATCAAACCCAGGGCCTCATGCAAGCAAGGCAAACACTCTACCACTGAGCCACCTTCCCAGTCCCTATTTGTTTTTGTCAGTCATTGGGCTTGAACTCTGGGCCTGGGCACTGTCCCTCAGATCTTCAGCACAAGACTAGCACTCTACCACTTGAGCCATAGCGCCACTGCCCGAGCTGGCTTTGAAGGCTTTGAACCTCAATCCTCAGATCTCAGCATCCTAAGTAGCTAGGATTATAGGCGTGAATCACCGGCTCTCAGCTTCTATTTGTTTCTTTATAGTGCTTTCTACTAATTTTTATGGAAGTAACTGCTGGAAGCATTTCCAACATAGAAGGCTCACTGGCAACTGAATTCAATAAGATAAGCTATGAATGATCAATTTTTTTTGATGACTGAAGGGGGGTGCTCTGAGCCCCACCCACTCCAATGCTGTATGGCTTGAACTTTTCAAATAGGTATGATTTATTATTTCTCTCTTTTTCAGGGCTAACATTTCATTGTAGAATTCATGTTCAACCAGAGCTTTGCTTTTTGTTATAGGAATGATATCTTATGTCACATCCTAACTCACACAATAGGAATAAAAATATTATGCTTGGTCAGTGAAACAAAACCAGACGAAGCCTCAGAATATAAGGACAGTTCTGTTATTGCTCTTGGTTCTGGGCGTTAAAAAAGACTGCAGAGAGGGGGGAAAAAAGACTGTAGAGGTTCAGACTTGGATACACAGCTCTGAGAGAGGGGGAAGGAGAATAAGTGGGGTGTTGCATGCTTGCAATCTCAGTTAAATGGAGGAAATGGGAGGATACTGGCTTGAGACAAGCCTGGGCAAAAAGGTTAGTGAGAGTCTATTTAAAAAATAAGCTGGGGGTTGTAGTACACACTGGTAATGCCAACTGCAAGGGCCTTATTATCACTTTTGATGCTATTTGCTCTAGAACTCTCCCCTCAAGTGGTTAGTACTTGCCTGGTAAGCACAAGGCCGTAAGTTCAAACTCCAACACTGCCAAAACAAAACAAAACCAATCTCCCTAAAAGCCCCTAAATGTGTAGTTATTCTTCCTTGTTGTTTTCCCTCTGAGAGAAACTCAATCTGAAAAGCATTAGCAGGTCATTCAATGTAAGTTGCCATGGGGTTGGAGACAGTGGGCTGATGGAGAATATAGCATACAAGTAGTTAAAAGAGGGCTCAAATTATTTACCATAGCTAAGATATGGAACCAACCCAGATGCCCCTCAGTAGATGAATGGATCAAGAAAATGTGGTATATATACACAATGGAACTCTATGCCTCCATCAGAAAGAATGACATTGCCCCATTTGTTAGGAAATGGAAAAACTTGGAAAAAATTATATCAAGTGAAGTAAGCCAGGCCCAAAGAAACATAGGTCCCATGGTTTCCCTTATTTGTAATATCTAGTATATGTATGAGTCAAGCGGAAAAGGTCAGATAATGTGATGTCAGGAAAATGAACCCTTAGATGTGTATTTTAATGTTTTTTTTCTTTCATGCATGTGTTTCTAACACATTTATAAGATTATCTCTTTGTTGCTTTGTATGTCCCTCCCCCACAGTATAACCCCTGCTTTCACTATATTTGATGTCAGTATAACTTGTGGAGGAGATGGGGAAAAACCAGTTGTTTAAGGATACAGGTGGACCTGTTGCAACAATAAGAAGTACAAATTGTCATGTCCAAAACGAGCTTTACAACGTGGGGGGGGGGGGGGGGGAGAAGGATTGGGATTAGGGGGGGAGGGGGGAAAGGGATGTGAAGGGTAAACAAAGGAGGAGGCTGCAATGCTTGGTAAGAAATGTACGCATTATCCTGCCCATGTAACTGTAACTCCTCTGTACAGTATGTTCACAAATTAAATTAAATTAAAAAAAAAAATAGAAGAGGGCTCAAGATTAGGATGTGGTGTAGGTGTGAGGTGAAGAGTGGGTTTGGTAGAAGAGGGAGTGGAAGCATATCTAGAGGATTGGAATCGGAGCAAAATGCTGTTGGATAAATCAATAGTTTCACTGGGGGTTGCAAAATGGTGGTTTTCTAATTTTATTATTCCTTTATTTTTATTAGCTGGTATTTTTTTCTAGAAGGGCTGTGGGTCATCAACTGGAGCTATTTGCTTACTACCCTGATGCACAGATACTAGTAGATTTCCTATTGCAAAGACAGAGAAAATGTTTTATCTTTTCCCTACCAATATTTGTCACAGTGGAAAGGTATAAGAGAAACTTTTATCAATGGTATACCTACACTAAAAAGGCACAGGACTAGCAGCACCATGTCATCACCCCCTCCCCACTCCACAGTTTTCTGAACACTACAATACCAAAGATTAATGTTTACGTAGAAATAACAAATAAAATGCTAAAGCTACAAAATAAAAAAGCAAGGATGCTGAAAATAAATCCTACAAAAATGAGAAATTCTACATCTTTTGTATGGTATTACATAAAACAATTTATTAAATTTAGCACTTCCCTATCTGGCTACTTTCTTGATCCTGTACGTGGGAATTTTTATAAAACAAAGGAAACCTTAAAGATTTGTTTCTTGTACTCTCTTTCACAGGCACACATGGAATCATATGGCTACAATGACTCGTATGAACATTTTTGCAGTTAGGCTAGCAAACAGTAACAAACTAGTATAGGCATTTCTCTGGCAGTTCCATTTTAAAAAATGCCAGATGAAGTTCCAAATAGGGCTTATAATCCTTACATGTTTCTGTAGCCTGGAGAAATAAAGAGAAAGTCTATAATCGAGAATCCCAGAAGGGACCTGAGGTCTCAGGGCATCATATATCAAAATATAAAAAGCAAAAAAAAAGTTTATTTAGAGTAGTTATATGAAGGAGTCTCACTTCAACAAGTCAGATTATGGATGCAAATGCTTAAAATAAGTAAAAATATTAAAATAAGTTTATTATTGTTGGCTTTGATACAAAAATTAAAAGTTGAAGGTTTGACTCACTTGGAATAAGCTTATATTCTGAGTGGTCAAGAGTAGTAAATACTTTGTTACAGGAGGCCAACAGAAAATAACAGAACTGCTTACTTAAAAATTCAAAAGGGGGGCTAGGAATGTGGCTTAGTGGTAGAGTGCACTTACCTAGCATGCATGAAGCCCTGGGTTCAATTCCTCAGTACCACATAAATGGAAAAAGCCAGAAGTGGCATTGTGGCTGAAGTGGTAGGGTGTTAGCCTTGAGCAAAAGAACCTCAGGGACAGTGCCCAGGCCCTGAGTTCAAGCCCCAGGACTGGAAAAAAAAAAATTCAAAAAGGACCTAAATAACCTAAGTAGTCTACCTGCTAGCTTTTCTAGGCACAAGGACCTGAGAGTCATCTTGGTCACCACAAAGTTCAGAGGATCCAAAACATCAATAATTCCATCACTTGAGTGGAAAAGACATTTTCTCTATTGGCAGTCTTGTAAGCATTATATTACATATGCATTAAACTGCCACTACATCCTGACCGGTTTGGATATACTTGCTGTGTCAAACCTCAGTGACATCCCATAATCACTTTAAGAATGAGATGCTTTCCAATTTATAACCATGTGAATGATGTATACTTTCTACGTGCATCTAAAACATAGAAGTAAAACTGGCCATCATGTGGTTGAAGAGAAAGATCAAGAGAAGCTGAGGCTCAAACAGGGCTATACTATGAGGTACACATCTATAATCACAGTTTTCAGGAGGCTGAGGCAAGGAGATAAGTTTGAGTCCAGTCTGAGCTACATAGTGAAATCTTGTTTTCACACAAATTTGAGTCCAGTCTGAGCTACATAGTGAAATCTCGTTTTCACACAACAAACTGATCCAACTTTAGACTGATAGATGGCTGTCCATGACCTTACTTTCAACCAACCTTTCAAGCTAATGTCAATGATTCTCTAAGATTTATCCAAAGCTGGGATAAGAGGAGGACACAGTGTTTTGTGAATGAGTCCTTGTTTCATACTTAGATGTTATCTTCTTCCTGTTGCCTCTCACAGTAGTAGTCACAACTGGGTCACTTGTCTCCTTTGCATTTTTATAGCATTCTCTCCTGCATTTCAATTATAGCACATACTAGTACAATAATCTACTGTCTTATCAGATTTCTCATCTGTCAGTTTTTTTATTTGAGGGGTATATACTCATCTTCCTGGCATAGTATACCTAACAGAACCTCACACAATCAATGTCTATTGGATTGAAAATTTTTTTAAAAAACAATTATTCCTATATATTTACGTATTTTTCCCTTTGATAATACTGGGGTTTAAACTCAAGGCATCATGCATGCTAAACAGGCACTCTACCACTTGAACCACTCAACCAGCCTCTTTTTGCATTGATAATTTTCCAGAGAGGGTCTCTTTCCCAGAGTTGGGCTGAAGTATAATCTGCCTATGTGTGCTTCTTTAGATGCCAGGTGTTGGTCACTGCAGCCTGACACTGTGCTTCCACCTTGGCCTGAGATAACAAGGGTGCATGCTACAGCACCCAGCCACTGACTGAAACGGAGTCTTGCATGTCTTTCTACTTTTTGGTCTTGAATTGATGTGAATTTTTTATTAGTCTGAATCTACATCTTTTCATTGTAGCTAAGATATCTATAGATCTTCCTTCTTATTCAGCTGTGCCATCTGTTAAAATAAAAACAGATGCTATACCTCTTTAGGAAAACTCTAAGGACTGTAAAAGATCTGAATTTCTTCCTTAGGAAATTCCTTATTAGGAATTAAAGGCAGAGTGGTTGCTTTCTGAGTCTCTTGTATAAAACTTATTGAAGGAAAATGATCACCAATTAAAGAAGAGACTTATACTTGGGCTGGGGGTGTGTCTCTAGCAGAATATCTGCCTAGCAGGCCCCAGTACCACCAAAAAACACTTATTGCATACAGATGCATATGACCTATCTGTTCATATAAAATATGAAAGTGTGCACATAACTAGGAGAGGAAGAATGGCACAGAAGGGAAAAAAGAATTAGCATTCTGTATTTGCATTTCTGCCATAAAAATATTTTCATAGCCAGGTGCCAATGGCTCAAGTCCGTATTCCTAGCTACTCAGGAAGCTGACACCTGAGGATTACAGTTCAAAGCCAGCCTGGACAGGAAAGACTGTGAGACTCTTTTCTCCAATTAACCATCAAAAATCCAGAAGTAGAGCTGTGGCTTAAGTGGTAGAGTGCTATCCTTGAGTGAAAAAGCTAAGGGGAAGTGCCCTGAGTTCAAGTCCTAGTAATGACACATGAGCATGAAAAGCAAAGACACACATGTTTGTGGTATAATTTAAAATATGAATAATGATAAAATAACTGTGTCTCAGTATATTGTTTTTTCCCCCTCAATATACTATACCATGAGAATTAAATAATCTGGCTGACCTTGAGATCACAGGTGGTATTGAGCAGCAGATTGGAAGGCTTGAGGTCACGGTGCAGAACATTAGCTGAATGGATGTATTTTAACCCTCTAAGAATCTGGTAAAGAAAATAGCAGATGTGGTCATTGCTGAGGTGTTGTGTCTTCAAGAGCTTGTAAAGATCTGTTTCCATGAGGTCTTGTACTATATATCTGTTTGGAAAAGTTAAGGTAAAATACGAACTAACTGATCATGGTTAGCCAAGTTTTACAGACACAATTCACCCTCTCCAAATGGCCAGTTATTATATGTACCATGAGGCCTTTAAGGAAAACAAACTGAAAAAGTAAATGGAAGGAATCTAAAGTAGTTAATTCATTGTTTAGGTCCTTTAAAACAACAGTCATCGTATCTGCTTGATGTGGTTGCTTATGAGGATAGACTAAGATTTGAGACAGAAATATTGGCAGGGTAAATCTTGACTTCCTTGTTCTCTAAGCCGTTCACCATTAATAAATCTTCTCCAAATCTTAGGGTGGGTGGTAACTGGCAAGGTTATATGTTCCCTTATCTCTTTGGTCCAATCTATAATGTCACAACTGTCTCCTTAGTAACCAACCATAAAGCTTTTGGTAATACAGGCCTAGAAACACTCTGCTACAAACCCAACCTTTAGTCTATTTTCATGACTCTTTGATTACTGTTAAAGTCCTATGAAAGTAAGAACAAGAAAAAAATCATGCTAAGACGTTGTCTGTACTGGTTTGTGTTCTTCCTGCTTTCTTGCCTCACCATGTATCTAAGCATCTAACACTGAACAGAAGTCTTTTGTTTTTAATTTCACTATGATATTTCATTAGTGATATTTTTACATTTCTTAAATTTTTTAATTGTTAATAAAGGTGATGTACTGTGTCCTACAGATACGTGCAAGGTAAGATTTGGCACAAGACACAGGACTTACACACCTGTTGTCTAAGAGGCTTATGTTGTTGTTGTTGCTGCTGCTCCTGCCCATCCTGGGGTCTGAACTTAGGGCCTGGGTACTAGCTATTCCTGAGCTTTTTTTTTTTCTCAGGCTAGTGCTCGACCACTTGAGCCACAGCTCTACTTCTGGCTTTTTGATGGTTAATTGGAAATAAGGGTGTCATGAAACTTTCCTGACTGGTCTGGCTTTGAATCACAATCCTCAAATCTCAGCCTCATGAGTAGCTAGGATTACATCCATTAGCCACAAGCACAGGCACAGGTACCCAGTTTGAGGCTTCTTTTTATGGGGAAGGTAAACCAAGACCAACAGGTGGTAGCAGTTAGGAGGAATTTCACTTAAAATATCACTATAACTTATTACCAGAGAGCTGTTTAAAAATGCAAAGGGATGCCTACAGATAGTGAGCTGCTGTTCCCCTAAGGGATGGATTACAAATTGGACAAACTGGTATGTGAATTCTGTGTTAGCCTAAAGGACAACTTGCTCTCTTTGACAGACCCTCTTCACTATGTTCAAAGCCTCCTTTATCTTTAACAAACACCATTTTCTAGACCTCCTTGTCTAGGTTTTTAATGCTGGCCAATTACTCACATAATTTTGGCCCAGTGCAACATTAAAGAAGAGTTATGACAGTATCTAACATCTGGATGGTTCTGACTAGACAATACGTATATCTAAGGCACCCTACTTTATTCAAGTACTCTCTGCTTTCCCTTTCATTATAACAAATTGGTTGAAGGGACAACACATTTTGGAAAGAAAATGTTTACAGATACAGAGAAAATATTGGACTTACCTAAAAGATACTAAATTTATTTACTAAAAACTAATAAAATGAATCAGAAAAAAATTTCAGTGCTACTTTAAGTGGCAAGCAGTTATAATCTCAAATATACTTCATATACTTTTCCTTTACTTTGATAAGTCAAGGAAATTTCAAAGCTATATGGAACTAATGGAACTAATTTCCAGAAAAGGGATACACATCTTTCATTTGCTCGATGGTTGGTGCTCGAATAATATCATTGATTCCAATGATGTTCTCATGTCTGAAGCGCAGTAAGATTTTTATCTCCCTCAGGGTTCTCTGGCAGTAGGTCTGGTGCTCAAAAGGGCTGATTTTCTTGATAGCTACTCGAACTTTGTTGAGGTTATCATAAGCAGAGCTGAAAGAAAAATGGAGAGAAAGAGGGAGATAGCATTAAAAATAGCTCATAGAATATCTTGGCAGAAAGTATACAAATTGGTAAAATATTAAAAATTTACAGTGTGTAAATACTTCTTTCTGTGAAAGCAGCAGGTACGTTATCTACAAAAAAGGGTGAAAAGTAGCTGACACAAGATAGCAGGTACTGAACTTCAAACTGAAGGGGCCCTGCCCTGACAATTAGGCGGATGCCCATTTTGACAAATCCAGAATGGATTTATACCAGATACACAAAAATAGCTTTTTTTTTTTTTTTGCCAGTCCTGAGGCTTGAACTCAGGGCCTAAGCACTGTCCCTGAGCTTCTTTTGCTCAAGGCTAGCACTCTATCACTGGATCCACAGCAGCACTTCTGGCCTTTTCTGTTTATATGGTACTGAGGAATTGAACCCAAGGGCTTCACAAATGCTAGGCAAGCACTCTACTACGCCACACTTCCATGCCCTAGCATTTTTTTCATTATCTTAAACAGCAACTGTATTCTGTTGAGAGCAATGATTTCTGCCTCTAAAACAACTGTCAATGTTAGATTTCTTTGGCTCAGTAAAAACACTCAAATGACTATCAACTAGATCTTCCTAGTAAAAGCAGACCAAAAGGATGCATTTATTGCTTCTATCAATTTTATTTTCTCTCTTCACATTTCCAGCTCTCAACTTTGTACAAAATGATATGATTATTTTGCTGTTCTCAATGAACTGAACCATGATGTTGCGATAGTTTTATAGCAATACCTAAAGAAGTTTCCAAAAATAACTTCACTGTCTTCGTATAGGGCCCAGTTCTTTCTAAGTTTTCTTTGAGGTCTGACAATCTAATTCTAAGCAGCATGAAAAAAGAAATTGTATCTACAATTTTATGATGAATTTAAACCTTGGGTTATTATACTATTATTGACCAACAGACTATTGAAAATTTTTCTGTGGAAGCATTTTTTTTTTTGTTTTTTGGTCGGTCGTGGGGCTTGAACTCTGGGCTTGGGCGCTGTCCCTGTGTTCTTCAGCTCAAGGCAGGCACACTACTGCCTGAGCCACAGTGCCACTTGTGGTTTTCGAGTGGTTTATTGGAGATAAGAGTTTCATGGACTTTCCTGCCCGGCCTGGCTTTGAACCATGATCCTCAGATCTCAGCCTCCTGAATAGCTAGGATTACAGGTGTGAGCCTATTAATAAACTTCAACATCTTGTCCATTGACCAAAGCAATGAAATAACACTGACAGGCATCAAAGACTTTGTTGCTAGATAGTCTGTGCTTCTATAATAATATTTATCAACCTACAGATACAACAGGGTGAAATCCTTTGGAATAATATAAACTAAAAAACATATGACGGAAAAGTAAAACAGATGGTCACTGAGTAGATATCAGTGAGAAAGGGAGGGTAAATGAGGATAAATATGGTTGATGTACTTTAAAAATACGCATATATGAAAACAAAACAATAAAACCTATGAAAATTATTTTAAGAAGAAGGATGGGAGATAAGGAAGAGTGAAGTGGATGGGGTAAATTGTATGTATATGGGGAAATGTCACAATAACTCTCCTTGTACAAATAATGTTTGCTAATAAAAATCTTAATAAAAAAAGTTAAAAAAGATTTACTGATTCGATTGTCTGACTCTATGCCAAGACTATACTCCAGAAGATTCTGATTTAGCTTCAATTAGTTTATAATGACATTAACATATTTCATTGTCCCTCAATTCTTTGAAATGAAATACATTCCCTTAATTAAAGAATTGCTACTTAAAAACATTATTTTGCTTTGGCTTGCTGCATTAAGGGCCAAATAAATGATCTTCAGATAGTCAGGTATAATTATGTAAATAAATACTTTTGGAAATAAAAAAGTTTCATTATCTTAATCACAAAAGATCACACTTTTCACCAAAAATAGCATAAACTGGGGCTGGGAAGGTGGCTAAGAGGTAGAGCGCTTGCCTTGCATGCATGAGGCCGTGGGTTCGATTCCCAGCACCACATAAGAAAAAAGAAAAAAGCTGGAAGTAGTGCTGTGGCTCAAGTGATAGAGCGCTAGCCTTGAGCTGAAGAGCTGAGGGACAGCGCCCAGGCCCAGAGTTCAGGCTCCACAACGGGACCCCAAAAAAAAAAAAAAAAAAAGAAAAAAAAAACAGCATAAACTAAAATTGTTGTAAAGGCTTTGAGGTGTAGCTCAGTAGTAGAGTGCTTCTGTGAGAGTTTATGTTTGATCTTCAGGTGCATCAACAATTTTAAAATACACTTTAAAAATAAAGTTGCGAAATATAAGTTTAAACTCAGCATTAGAAAATTTTAGATTTCTGAAAAGAGTAGGCAAATATAGTCACAAGTTTGCTTTATAAAATTATAATCCAGCCAGGCGCTAGTGGCTCATGCTTGTAATCCTAGCAACTCAGGAGGCTGAGAGATGAGGATTTTGGTTCAAAGCCAGACTAGAGTAGGAAAGTTTATAAGACTCTTATCTCCAATTAACCACCAGGAAACCAGAAGTGGAGCTGTGGCTCAAGTGGTAGAGCACTAGCCTTAAGCTGAGGGACAGCGCCCAGGCCCAGAGTTCAAGCTTAATGACTGGCAAAAAAAATAAATAAATAAAAATTATAATCCAGCAAGACTGTTGAAGAAAGTCTCTCTAGTGTACCAATACTCAGTGACAAAGTTAAGTAATCAACTGACATGTTTTATTAGAAGGCATGGTGAGTGGATCAAGAAAATGTGGTGTGTACACACATTCTCTCTCTCTCTCTCTCTCTCTCTCTCTCTGGAAATTCACTCAGCTATTAGGAAAAATAATAATATGTCAGGAAAATGAACAGACCTGGCATTTTTTTTTTTTTTTGTCGGTCATAGGGCTTGAACTCTGGGCTTGGGCGCTGCCCCTAAGCTCTTCAGCTCAAGTCAAGCGCTCTACCGCTTGAGCCACAGTGCCACTTCCGGTTTTCTAGTGGTTTATTGGAGATAAGAGTCTCACGGACTTTCCTGCCCAGGCTGGCTTTGAACCGTGATCCTCAGATCTCAGCCTCCTGAGTAGCTAGGATTACAGGCTTGAGCCACCAGCGCCCGGCTTGGAAAAAAATTTTTAAGTGAAGTAAGTCAAGCTCAGAGCGCCAAAGGGTACATTTTTTTCCTCGTATGTGCAAGTTAGATCTAAATTATATAAAAATACATACCGGATCATACATTAACAAGCTGACCAAAGTATGGTTTAACAAAATAAATACCAGGAAGTTGGAACATGTATATGAGGGAGTAGGGTGGTATGGGGAGGAAATGAATGGAGAGAGGAAGGGTGGATGAAAGTCATAATATTCAATGTAAATATGTGAAAATGGAGCAAGATAACTTGAGGGATGGGTGAGGTTGGAAGAAATGGGGGAGAATGATGGAAGGGATAATATTAGGATGCATTATACTCATAAACTGACATGTTGACTTGAAGCTCCTTTGTACAACTACTTAAAGACAATAAGGGCTGCATGCTGGTGGCTCACTCCTGTAATCCTAGCTATTGAGGGGTGCCTGGAATGGAGAACGCTTCATCTCTACCCTCCCCCAAGTAGCTAGAATTTCAGGCTAGAGCCACTATGCCTGGACTCCTTTCTCTAATAAAGAAGAATAACAATTTTTGCTTGTGATAGCAAAAAAACCCCCAAAACCCAACAATACCCTGAAAGGATACACAAGAGTGATACCAGTAAGTATTGATTACTGCTAAATACTGCTAAATCACAGTAAATATTAATGGTAAGCCTTTATTATAAATAATCCTTTTTACTAGTTACTTTTCTTTTCTTTTTTGTTGGTTGTAGGGCTTGAACTCTGGGTCTCGGTGCTGTCCCTCAGCTCTTCAACTCAAGGCTAGCATTCTACCACTTGAGCCAGAGCACTATTTCCGGTTTTCTGGTGGTTAACTGGAGATAAGAGTCTCATGGACTTTCCTGCCTGGACTGGCTTTGAACTTTGACTGTCTTCAACAAATGATTTAGCACAGCAGCCAGTTAGAATGCTTTCTCCTTGGGGCTTGCTGCTCTGAATACTCCATGTACACTTTGAGTTATACAGCAGCTACAGCTGTTCACAGCAGAAGCAAAACTCTGGTTTCCAAAGGCACTGACTTTCACAGCTACTACCACTGTTTCAATAGCCAATGGCAGAGGGTTTCCCTGCTTCCTTTGGCAGTATGGGGATTTGAACACAGGGTTTTAAGCCACATTCCCAGTCCATTTATTATTTTTCAGAGCAGGTTTCAAGCTTTTTTGTCTGTGATTCTGCCAACAATTCTCACAGGGCTGGGATTACAGATGTGCACCACCATGCCCAACTTGTCTTCTGAGATAAGGTCCTGAATGAGAGCTCTAACGCTAGAGGGCACTACCTACTACTACTGCTGCTATTGCCCAGGCAGTTAACAGGAGGACACACAGGAATAGAGGACAGCAAAACTTTTCACTGTACACTTTTTATATTAAAGTCTGTATGACCTCTTCAAAAAATAGTAAGAAAACACAATTATTTTGGGATTTCTTATCAATACAAAAGTTTTTAAATGAAATTGAGAGCTCTCCTACTTGAGACACAGAACCACTTCCAGTTTCCTAATGGTTAATTGGAGATAAGAGTCTCACAGGAGCTTTTCTACCCAGGTTGGCTTTGAACCATGATCCTCAGATCTCAGCCTCCTGAGTAGCTAGGATTACAGGCATGAGCCACCAGCGCCCGGCCTGGACAAATAACCTTTAATGATGGAATTATGTGTATGTATTTTGTGTGTGATGTGAGTGAGAGTGTATATGTGTGTGTGTATACATGTGTGCACTGGTTCTAAGGCTTGAACTCAGGGCCTAGGCACTTCAAGGCTCTCTCACTTGAGCCACAGCTTCACTTCTGGCTTTTTGGTGTTTAATTGGAAATAAAAGTCTCATAGGCTTTCCTGCCCAGGTTAGATTTGAACCTTGATCCT